TTTTTATACCTTCCTTTCTTCATGTGTTCAATACTTTTTCCCTGTGCCATTCCACATTATTACAAATAACTTCATTTGTGGACAATTGTGGTTTGATTTCTTTGTATGTATAGATCACTTGGGTTGTTACCGACACCTGGTGAAAATTTCATGTCATTAGCACCTCTAATAATATATTTACTGAGAAAAATGGTGACGTGTTCAATACTTATTTTACCCGCTGTATATGCAGTATATCACAAATACATCAGCAAGAGCAGACTTCACTTCTTGTGTGGAGTATATGAAAAAGCCTTAAAAGGTAGGATTTTGTACCTTTAGCCCAAGTATCTCAGGGATACTTATTGGTACCCTTGTGGTTTTGATTTCTAAAATCACACTGTGCGATTTGCTGCCGTCTTAAACACATCTTTATAATACTTATAAGCATCAGCAGCTAATTTCCTCTTATTGTTGGATTGAAATCTTTGTTGGATTTTTGCTTATTTCTTCAAAAAGTCTTTTAGATGTAGCGTTATAGAGTGAAACACTGGTTACCATCAAATCTTGAGCTCACACACACACACCGATTGTCTACAAAAAGAGATCTGTCTCGTACCTCTGGTTGCAATCACGTATCAGTGTAAAAAAGACCCTTAAATTGAACAATAAATGGCTTCAGCAGGAATTGTTCCTGTCTCCTATTTTTATGAGAAGCAAAATGTTTTCCATTTCAATAGGATAGTCATGCAGGGCCACTAAAAACACCTTCACCAAAATCTAGAAAAAAATGTCAGGAGATTTGTTGTTGTCATAGATTATTTGACAAAGACAGTTAAGGAATCACCTTCTGCTATACGTAGTTCTACTATAGTTTTTTTTTTCATGTTCACAATTGACATTAGTTATTGAGAAAATTACTGCCACTTAAATAATTTAGACTTGTTCTCTTATTTATATTTATATACAAAAAGTGCATGTACCCTCCTGAGACCCTGCACCCTGTGAGGCCATTGGTTTTAGACCAGCTGTCCTTATTCAGGGGGACTAGACTTTCTTTAAGTTTTATTTTTAACTTTAATCAAAACATATGTTTATATTTTAAGTCTTGATTGCTCAAAAAATGTTTGTTTTACTGTTTTTCAAGTTCTAGCTATTAATCCTGAACAGAGGAATTTAAAAATGCACACCAGGCAAAAACAAGAGACTCGAGAGATAAAACTGTCTGGTCAAGGGGGTCCCCCTTTAGGTGGCGCCCCTGTCAAATACCTTATAGTGGGGTGG